AAAGTATTGCAAGGGAACGCAAAGGTATTGCGAGGTAACGCAAAAATATTGCGAGGGAACGCAAAGGTATTGCGAGGTAACGCAAAAATATAGAGAGGGAAAGCAAAGATATTGCGAGGGAACGCAAAAATATTGCGAGGTAACGCAAAAGTATTGCGAGGGAACGCAAAGGTATTGCGAGGTAACGCAAAAATATTGCGAGGGAACGCAAAGGTATTGCGAGGTAATGCAAAAATATAGAGAGGGAAAGCAAAAATATTGCGAGGTAACGCAAAAGTATTGCGAGGGAACGCAAAGGTATTGCAAGGGAACGCAAAAATAATGCGAGGGAACACAAAAGTATTGCGAGGTAATGCAAAAATAATGCGAGGGAACGCAAAGGTATTGCGTGGGAACGCAAAAGAAAAAAATCCCCCCTTGTCCCCTCCCGGGCACCGTACGGACACATCTACATTCCTGACAAATTTCATGTTGATCGGTGCAGCGTTTCCGTTCTATGGTTGACCAAAAAAAAAAAAAAATCACTGAAAAATAAAAACTGTGCAAAAACAATAAATACTGGATATTTTGATGAAAAAAAGTACAAAAAAGAACCAAATCTGAGGCCAAACAGGGTAAAAATTGGGGCTAAAACAGCTAAATAAACCAACTCCTCTGTGAATTCATGAATTCAACTCAATGAAACTCACATTCATTCTTGATGAAAAGGGAAACTGTGATGACTAATGAGGTTTTAACTCTGCAGCGAGGGATGAAAAAACTTTGGCTTTTTATTCATCTCTTTATTTCGGTTCCTTTTGTTTAAAACTACCTTTCAACTGAGCAGGATGTTTTAGTCTTTCATCACATTTACTCTTTTATCGAGGTCAGTTTAGAGTTTCTTTTAGTTGTTTTKAATTTCCTGTGCACCAAACTAAAAAGTCCCTTTTTTCTCTGTACTTTAAAGGTAAACTTGGATGCAGTGACCAGAGAGAAAACGAGGCAGGAAGTGGAGRACGGCAGCCCGTCCTGTTTCGACGAGGCTCAGAAGATGATTTACAAGTTGATGGAGAAAGACTCGTACAGGCGCTTCCTGAAATCCAAACTGATCCAGGATCTGTGTCGGAAAGAGTCCGGCTGCCGCTGGGCTGACAGCAGGCCGATGTTAGCTGGGGGGGCCTAAAACTGGAAGCAGGACCCGGAGACTCAGAGAGGAGCCAAGGATTGATTTACTAAATTAGGACAATAAGACAAAAGTTAGGAAAATATTGGTTTTGATGATGATAAATGAAAGTTTATTTAAAACAAATTTTCCCAGTAAAGACTTGCTATTTACTTGTCGTGTTTAGTCACCATATATTTAACAAAAACAAAAAAAAACATTTCCCATTTGTGCAATCACAACCAGCTCTCCTGGAATATTCACAATCAGAAAGGTCGATCTTAAACATAAGCGCAGTGACAAAAGGTGCATTTTACTTTGAAAGGATTCATTCGACTGTGAAAAGAGGAAAGGAAAGTGAAGGTTTTTTTGTTTGACGACAAAATGAATGTTGACATATCTGGAGAGAAGTTTACTGCTTTGTTGCGTTAGAAACCCAACTCTAAACAAATACTTTATTTGCATTATTGCTCAATTATTAAGAGCGGTAACTTTAAACAGTTTTATGGGCTCGACAGGCGAGGAGCGACAAACGACAGTGATTGAYGGCCGTCATCGCAACCAGGGTGAAACCCGACACACGAGACGTGAGAGCGACAGCGGCGTTGCGAATCTTCACGAAATTTGATTGGTCCTTCCACTGCTTCTTGTAAAGGTGATTGGTGGTTTTCAAAAGAAAAAAAAAAGAATGCGGTGCATTACGGACGTGTAAAACTAAACAAATCTTGCGATGCTAATGATGTTGTAAAACAAACACACGCCAAGATAAGATTTTATGAGGAAAAAACTTACAGGATGACCTCACCCTGGCCTCAAAAAACTTAGCAAATGGCTACTTTTTTTTAGTAATCACTTTGTGAAGTGTCGCATAAGATTGGAAAGTTTGTCAGAGCTAAAATAAAGCTGAAAGCGTTAGCTAACTGCAGTGTGTAGCATACTCTCCTCTCATTGGTCAGTCAATGAAACCCTTGCTGATTGGTTGTTGCTCCATGTGTCAAAAGTTGAACATTTTTCAACTTCCGTATGTCGCGTCACAAGCTCACATGTGGCCTGTCTACGTGTACGAGCGCAAAAATTTCACAAGTACGAGTTTCGCCGGTCGCTTGGCTGGAGGAGGGCGAGCGATTGTCGCCTCATCGCACAATTTCCACAGGAAGTGAACCGAGAGCGACGTCGCTCCCCGTGTGTGAAGAGCCGAAATCAAAAGTAMACAAAACAGGAAGTAAAACAAAATAAAACAAAAGTTTTATTGTGACGGAGCAGAGCAAAGAAAGGAAAATGGAAAGAGTGTAAAAGGTTAAAAAATGCTTAATAACATTACAGGAAGCACAGACATGATTAGAAAATAAAACAATTGCTCCAAATTTATGAATCTGCTCAATTTAATTTTTTTTATTTCGGCCCCTAAAAAAACCTGTTATGTTTACACAACCTGATATCTAACTCTCCTCACTGAGGACACTTTAAACCAAACAAAATGTTCTCTAATTAGCTTTTATTTACAAACTTATTGCACATTTAAAAAAGTTTTTTTAATGTTTTTAAACTTTGAACGACAATCAGTTAGCGAAGCTTCTTGTTTTAACACTAACACTAGATTCATAACATTTTATATGAAGCATCAGTTAAATACATTGTTTAGAAACATTTATTTTACCTTTACATTGTCTTTTTAAAGCTTAACAGTTGATCAAATTTATATAAGGATTTTAACATCAACATTTAAACCAGTTAACATGAAAATCACCTGGAAACACGATACTTGTTTAGAATAATATGATAYGTTGGACACAGCTGGCAGACCAATCAGTATTAAATACATTTATGTATAAGAACTTATGTAAAAATTATAAACAATATTCATTAGCTTTAGCATAATTTCTGGCAGGATTGTTCAAATGTGTTTTTTTRTTTTATTTTCTTCACACAAACACTGCTTATGACACATTTCTACAGAAGCTGATGCATGCTGCTGATTTAATTGTATCATTTTTGTAAAATTTAACAGTAACAACAGATTTTAGTGTGATATCGTCTCAACCAACACTGTGAAAATGGTGACTTTGTGAAAAAACACGGAGCGTGCTTTAATATCAGTAGTAGTGGTTTTATTGTTAGCATGTCTAAATATAAACAAATAAGTTGTGACTCCTTTAAAAAAACAAAACTCTGATGCATTTCTTTGTAAGTAATGCTGCTTTGTTCACATTTTTACTGATAAACGTAATGTGCTAAAGTTTCAAAGCGTTATTGTAGTTTTGCATCATTAGGTGTTTAATCAAAAATGTATAATGTGATGAATTCAAAGAGCATAATTGTACCTGTAGATATTTATACAATAATTGCTTTTGTCTTATTTATGTCATGTCTGTGACTACAGATTAATAAAGTTGGGAAATAAAATTGGTTTTTGGAGAATATTTGAAACAAACTGTATTTTGATGAACTTGAAACATAGAAGGCCATATTTAGAAAAAAAAACTTTAAAGTGTCTGTGACATTCAAATCCTTCAAATACAAAAAGTAAAAAAAAATATTTTTTATTTACTTGGCATATTACACATGATT